CAGTAGCAGTAGCAGTAGTTGTAGTGATGGTGGAAGTCGTAGTCGTGGTCGTTAGTCGTTGTCGTCGTCCTCGTCGTGGGTGTTCTACAATCGACAGGCTGGCAAGTCGATGTAGCAATTCGCTGCTCTGAGGTAGATGTTCTGACAACCGCAGCCTTTTTGGCATTGCGAGAAGCCAAAGGTTGCCGTCGTCTCCTGGTGGCTACTTAACGCTACTTATGCATGCACGGGTGCATGCATGCTTGTAGTATGCTTGTACTTAGGTTCGCACGCGCAGATGCCGTCTTCGTCGTCGTCGGCGTCGTAGTAGGGGTAGAATCGGAGTCGGGGTAGGAGTAGCAGTGGCAGGGGCATTGGCAGTGGTCGACGTCGTCGTCGCCGTCTCTCAAGCCCATTCAGATGCACCGCGTGCATATGGCATGCGAGCATCTGAATCTCACAAATTAAGTAAAATAAACAAATCAAATCTTCATGTCAAGGAGTGCTCGCGAGCCCTATTCTCCCTGACCTCCAAAGCTGAAGCATAGCTCCTGTCATGTCCAGAAAGCCCAGAAAGCTCCAGGTTGCAGTGCGCTCCATCCGCTTCGAGAAATGCCACTACCGCAAGGACAGGCAGAGATCCCCTTGGGACAGATCGTGGGTGGGAAATATACCGTGAGTTCTTGCCAAAATGAGCTTAATGTAGAACCGAAATAGTAACATCCTGATCGGAAGGACCCCTGAAAGGGCGACTTGTACTGCCGTTTCATCTTCAGAGCAAAGATGTTGTAGTCCCGCCGAGCGGAATCCAAAAATTCGGCCATGGACGCTGTCCGAGGACATTGGCTCGTCCGCCATCGAGATCCCGCGCCCGCGCACCCGAAGCGGCATCGGGCCGAGCAAGAAGGTCGTGGTGTGATGCAAGAGCTCCGCCGTTGCATGCTCGTACGATTCGGTACGCCTTGAAAGCTTCAGCATGCTGAATGTCTTACTGCCACTATCCACCGACTGCTTTCCGAGGAGCGGAGATCTCGTCCATGGCGTCTTTGCACCATCACTCGGAGCACAAGGCTAGGGGGGCACTCTCACGTTTGAGTTATAGCATTTGTGGAAGCACTCTGGGTGAATACATCGCAGCACGAAAAGGGTCTCAGTAGGGCAGCGACCAGCTGTGATCTCTGGAATGCACTCATAGCAGCTGAGTAAAGTAAATCCCTGTGCTGTGATGTGCGCGGATGCCAGATGCGCACCAACACTAGCAATGACTCCACTAGCTCTTGTACTTCGAAAGGGCAATCTCCCACAGCCCACAGAAGCACAATGACTCTTGCATCTCGAGACGGAGGATTTTTCACGGCGGTCAATCTAAAGATGTGTTTTCCTAATGTAAGTCTCTAATTCGTTTTATCTTTTAGTCTCCCACTTGGCAGGGGATGAATCCGAGACCCTCGCGACCTCCTCAGTTCCAAGCCCCGAGACACCCAAATCTCCGGATCTCTTCGCCTGAATCCGAGCCCTTTCCAATCCCTAAACCCCCTCAACCGGGAAACCCGCAATCAGCAGCCCGGTCCCCCTGGTGCAGAAACCCGAGACCCAAGTACCACAAAGGCCTCCCTTCAGACCCCCTTCCTCGAAGCCCTTGGAGGTCTGGGAGCACCCTCCAGATGCCTAGATCCTTCAACTCCGCAAAGCCTCAAAAACCCTTGAACTTCAAGCCCTGGCAGCCAAACTCTTATCTCCAAGCCCCTACTGTGATACCCTATATCCGAAAATAGCCGGCGCAACCCATGAAACCTTACGAAACCCCACAGAAGCCCTTCAAACCCCGAGCCAGCGACCCGAGCCTTAACCCCTAAGTCCGAACAGGCAACTTAAGCCTAAACCCTGAAGCCCTAAAAAAATGAAACCCAACAACCCTCAGGGTTTAGGGTTTAGGGTTTAAGGAAGCCCCAAAGCGCCCGATCCCAGACCGGTCAACCGCACCGCAAGAGCTCGGCCACAGATCCCGGAATGAAGGATTTCACGAAGGGGTTCTCCAAGGGTTCTTATGAGGTTTCTAACATATGGGTAGTTTTCTAAATTCGGGTCCCTTCTAGGGTCCTTCTTAAAAGGGTGCCGTACTATATTGGGGACCCTTTTTTAAGAACCACCCATATGTTATTTGGGTTCTGGGGCGTTTGGGTGTTTGTTTCTTGGGTTTCTGAGTGGGTTCTTGAAGAGTTCTGTAGGGGTTCTAGAGGTTCTGGGCTTGTGCTGTGGGTTTGAGGGCCAGGGGTTGGGAATGGGCCTCAGGGTTTGGGAGTTTGGGGCTTGTGTTGAGGGTTGTGGGCTTGTTTTTGGGGGGCTTGCGGTCTTAGAGGTTTTCGAGGATCTTGAAATCGATGTTTCGAGGGTTAGGGCTTATCGCGCCGGTTTTGCAACATGCAAAATGGTCTCTCACATCGTCACATTGCCTGACCCTTGGGGGATTAACACATTTTTGAATTTAAGATTTGGGAGCAATCTAGGGGTCCTCATAAGCTGTGACATCATGTGTCCACATAAAATGCGCTGTCATATGACCCCCGAATACCGGAGTCTACTTAAATACTGTACCCATAGGCCCCATAGTAGTTCCTTTTTGGGGTTCATATTTAGAATCCTATAAGGTAGAACTACTATGGGGCCTATGGGTAAGGCCCCCTACGGTGTGTGCGCTTTGGGGGCCTTGGGTCAGTAGTTTCAAGAGCTTTGAGGCGCTTTCGGATGGCTATCGCAGAGCATCCGGATAGCCACCCGAAAGCTTTCGGGCAACCCTTTAGGAGTGCTGCGGGTTTCCTTGCGTAATCTCAGGATCCCCTAAACCCTAAACCCTAAACCCTAGACCCCAGACCCTGAAACCTAAACCCTAAAGCCCTAAACCCTAAAGCCCTAAACCCTAAAGCCCAAAACCCTAAAGCCCAAAACCCTAAAGCCCCAAAACCCTAAAGCCCAAAACCCTAAAGCCCAAAACCCTAAACCCTAAACCCTAAACCCTAAACCCTAAACCCTAAACCCTAAACCCTAAACCCCTAAATCGGTTTTCAGTCCTGGCCCTGCTCCGAGTCCCGAGTCCCGACCCTCACCTTCGGATTCACCAAAGACCGCCTGTCTTAGCGGGTTTAGGGTTTAGGGTTTAGGGTTTAGGGTCTAGGGTTTAGGGTTTAGGGTTTAGGGTTTAGGGTTTAGGGTCTAGGGTTTAGGGTTTAGGGTCTATAGGGTTTAGCGGGTTTTATGTGCGCTTTTCGGTTGGGACGCTCAGTGGCAATACGAGCAGGGGTTTCAGAGTTTAGGGGTTTAGGGCTTTGGGGTTGTATGGGTTAGGGTTTCGGGATCTAGGGTTTCGAATCGGATCTGAGGCCACTTATTTGGAGGCAGGCGTTGACATCGAGATGGACGAGGCTCAAGACTGCCAACCCTGCGCGTTGCTTGAGGAATGTGCTGATAGGTGTCCGGGTTCTTGTTGATTAGCCTCTGTCTCAAAATATACATATATGCACGTGTGTTCTTCTGCTTCTCAATATTATTTTTCTTCTTGTTATTCTTGTACTTGTTGCTGTTGCTGCTGCTTCTAGCTCGTGTCGGGTGCGCTCATCTGCCCCTATCTTGTTGAATGTTGGCTGCGGCTTGCAGGTTTTCTGCCTCTTCTAACTCGTGTCTGGTGCGCACATATGCCCCTATGTTGAATGTTGGCTGCGGCTTGTGAGTTTTCTGGCTCTGCTAATTCGTGTCGGGTGCGCGAATCTGCCCCTATCTTGTTTGTGTTGGCTGTGGCTTGTGAGTTTTCCAGCGGGTGAGCTCATCTGCCCTTACCCGTTTTGTGTTGGCGGCGGCTTGTGTGTTTTCTGGTTCCGCCAATTCGTGTCCGGTGCGCCCTTCTGCCCCTACCCTTTTTGTGTTGGCTGCCGCTTGTGATCGTGTTTTGCTGGCTTTGCTAACTGCCGTGTGGCGAGTTCTTCTGTACCTATCCTGTTTGTGGCTGCCGCTTCTGTTCTGGAGTGAGTGAGCCTCATAAGTCTGCAAGACTATCCTGATCACGGCTAGGATCAGCCGTGTGTCTGCGAAGCTTGACTTGAGTAATATCCAAAAGTGCAGGCAGATGCATGCAGTTCCCCAACAAACCGGAACCACGAGCCTCAACATAGAGCATAATTTAGCAACTCAGAATTACGTTGTGTAGATTGGTTCAGGCAATCCGTGCCGGCACCCGGAACCTGATGACGAAGACACAACGCCCGGGCTGCGAGCTGCCAGGGTCCTGAAGCGACCTTGCACCTGGTAACAGGGTTCTCCTCACTGCACGGGTGCGAGTCTGTGCAGTTGTGTTGGTATTTGACTCTTGTTCTGTGGCTGGTTTCGTTATACGCGAACGCACCAATTTGACGCAAAGCGAATGACGGTAATGCGATTGTTAATCGAGAGCAAAGTAGTGTAGCCGACTGCAGCCTACGTAACAAATCTGATGCCACCTGATGCAGCCCAGCATAAGCTAGTATACTCCCAAGCAAGTATTGCTCTTCACTCTAAGTTCAGGCAATGCAATAAAATGCCTCAGAGAGCGATGATGTTATCTTATGCTTTTCGGCAGCTGCCCTTACATGACCTGGCGTTAAACAGCTGAGCCGTATTTCTCTGTACACATCACAACGTTTTGGTGCGATTAAGATTAAAATATTGAGTCTAAACATATCCTACGTTTCCTATTTGTCCCATGTTGACTACGTCTTCGCGACTGTAAAGTGGCCAAGCGTTCAGTCTGCTGAGGGCTGGTCCGGATGGGGAGGAGGCACACTGCGCGGTGAAGGCACGCTGGTCTTCGAGGGAGGAACAACGTAGACCCTGCAACGGCTATGACTGCTTAGCAGATCCAGATCACCGATCTATTCTTTCAGGACCACATTTCAGCAAAGTGTTCTTGTCCTAAACTTCTGCTCCAGGGCATCAAGACTTAGGAACCTGGCTGTTCGCCCTAAGTTTCAGATGCATTGGCTGTTCCGTCACCCCCACCGCATCCTCAGGACACGCCGAGTAAGACCTTTGTTTGACCGGTGTACAATCTCAATTTGCCAATGAGCCCCGTCAGAGGATCCAGGGAAACTCCATTCAGAAGCATTCTCTAGAGAGGTACAGAGGGGCTCCCGTATGTGGGCCCTCACTTCTCTACCTTGTAGGGCTTGCGAAGTACCTCTGAGGTGTATGTGCACTAGATGCCACGACTATTAGTAAAACCATAAGAATCCCCATGATGAGAAACGGAACCGGCCGCGCATCATGTGCAGATTCCCGCAGCATTTTGCTCTTGTCCTCCAGCTTGAAGCAGCCGCCCTGAGTTCCATCGAGTGCGATGGCCTTCCTCTTGTTTGCGCTGTTCGGTATCCAGGTGCTTGCCCAGACAGGAAGTGGCGAGTGCCGCTTTGCCATTCTTTAGAATTATTAGGGATGTTCGTTTACGCCTCGCTCGTTTACTAGAAGGCAAGTTCCTGCCACGCAAACACCACCTTTTTTATCTGTAGGATGAGGGTTTCGTGCAAAAAGAGCAGCAAGACTACACAGACACACCGCATGCATAAGAATCATTCCATCTTTAACATTTTCCGGTGGTTGTCGCACACATTGTTATGCGAAAGCCGGTCTAAGGGGCTGCCAACGCATCACAGCGGGCTACCTTCCGCAATGCAACAGGATTTCTTGCTAAGAACCGCAGCTCAAACGCATCAAGCAGCTCAAGCAAGTCCACTGGCAATTGCCACTTCCTTTGCTCGACAGCGTATGGCCAGTCCAGTTGGTGCGACAGAGGAATTTGCTTGTGTTCCCAGGGCTTCACCGACTATTACGGGTATTGCCAAGGAGGAACTGCTTCCTGCAGGGCAGTTTGTCTCAACTCCGCCTACACACACGACACTTGTGATGGCACGATATGCGTGTGCAGCTTTGGATGGACAAATACAGGGACCACGTGCTTCTGAGGAGCTTTGACCCACTAGCACATCATCGCATGGACTTTGTGCATGTGTGTTGGTTCTTATTCAACAAACTTAACATCTGTGTAGAATGTGTAAAAGTGGAGTATGGATTCTATGCACAAGACCGAGATTTGGTAGTTTGTCTTGGGTTTCACTGGAAGAGCTGGACCCTTCCGAGGCCCTGCAATAGTAGGGTTCTTTGGATGTCTTTCCCGCACATCCTTATAGTCAGGTGGCGATCTTGAGTCAGCTGTGCCTTATCGAATTCAAGCAGCTAGGCCCCGCGGATGCAGTGCGAGCCCATGAGCAAAATTGGAGTTTACACCGTTGTTTCTTTGTTTGTTGCGTTTGGTCATGAAACCAGACTTTCGAGACTAGTATCACTGCTCAGCTGAATCCCTTGCTTCGCCTGGAGACGGCAATCTGCGGCTTAATGATTTCAAAGCAGCTTCAGCTGAAGCAGGAAAAGGATGGTCGAAGGTGCTCGCAAAGGTGCTTCCTTTTTTGGTGCTTTGATATAGCGGTTTTACATCGGGACGACTGGTTGAAGGGTTTGAAGAGAAGCATCAAAGGAGGAAGGCATATTGCCCTGTTTCAAAAGGCTTATCGCCATGTTTCAAAGATTTAGAGAATTAAGTGTTTCTGCGGGCCGCAAGCTACGTCCGCGTTGGGGCATCAGCCCCGTTTGCATGGTTGTACTCTACTGTGCGTTCTAGGCCCCGCGGATGCAGTGCGAGCCCATGAGCAAAATTGGAGTTTACACCGTTGTCGCAAGCTCTTGGGTCAGGCCATAGGCTATGAAGCGCCCGAGGTCGTGAGTGCGGAGCCTGGCAGTCATGGCATGTCCCTCTGCAAGTAGCCGTGCGTTGATGATGCTTGACTTGGTGCTCACGATAGCGGCGTTGATGAAGTGCTTGCAGAGCAGAATGGCTCCAAAACATCTCATAATCACCGGGGCAAGAGTATTCTCTTCACCACAGCATCGCGACCAGTGACACAATCGCATTTACATGCATGGTTGTTTCCACTTCGGCTCATGACGGTGCTGGGGTTGATGTCGACATGATGTTGGTGGCCGAGATGAGTAGTTTCACTCGAACCCATACATGAAAATAAGTTTAGGTAAAACGTCTGCAAGGCTATGATGTCAATTACGGAGTTAGCACCATCGTCATCGTCGGGGTTGCAGTTCATGCACCTGCAGCTTCCGCCATTACACCTGTTTCCCCTGGCATTCCTTGGATGGGCAGGCGAGAAGATTTGGGGTTTGAGTATATGTGCATCCTCGCAGCAATCGAGGTACCTCGCAAGACCACGCTGGTTCCTGTGTTTTCCGGGATAATGGAAGAGACGGGGAAGCGTGTGATGGGCGACGGAACCACATTTCGCGCAGATTGAGAGCAAGAATGTCTCAAACTCCCTTCGATCCTGATGCATGAACTTGCCCAACCTACCCCACAGCTGCTTGCAAACTAGGACTAGCTCTCCGCAAGCAGGAGGGGAGCATGATTCTATTCAGTGCGGAAACTCATCCTCTTGATCCTGCATCATACGTGCGCCTGTCTGTCTCTCTACAACGATGATTTGCCTTATGAGGTTCTTTAAGCAGGAACGCTCTTCTCTTGATTCGCTGTGGCTTATATTCTTTTGTGATACCCTGGAGTCTTATCATCTCTGGCCCCTGTAACTGGCGCTGAGTCGAGGCAGCACCAATGGCATCGGCACCAAGCTCAAGGCTCCGATTGTTTAGGGTTTAAGGTTTAGGGTTTAGGGGTTTAGGGGTTTAGGGTTTAAGATTCTGATTGCGGCTGATGGTGGGGATGATGTCCTAGCCTCGTGGTTGTGACTACTGGTTCCGATGAGACCTCGTTTGCTAGATGTAAGTGCTTGTGGAATGAGTGTTGCTGATGATTGCTCGGTCAACCCCCGAAGACTTCCAACGCCCAGAGCGACAACAAGAACCAACAGGAGCCGGTTCTGTTGCTGGTATGGTCCCAGTACCCGAAGCCTTGGAAGCCACAAAAAGCCCCAAAAGCCCCAAACTCTAAACCCTAAGTCCAAAACCCTAAACCCTAAACCCTAAACCCCAACCTAACCTAACCGGGCAGGTGGAAAAGAGGTGTCAAAAAAAAAACCCCTAAACTAAAGCCTTAAATCCGGAAGCCAAAAAGGGGAACTGGCCCTGACATGAACTCTCGTGGCGAGAGGTTGCGACGGCAATGGGGCAATTCCGCAGCATCGGCCGGGTTCCTACAGGATAGAAGCATAAGAGGCTAGAAGGCTTCAGGCTTTAGGGCACTGGCGTCTAGAGTCTAAGCTTTAGGTTCGTTTAGAGCAAGTGGTAAAGTAAAGGTTTAGAGGTTTCGGGTTGAGGGTCCAAGGTCTCGATGCCTTGTTGCTTCCATTAGCCGAGAATCTCACTGTTTCGTGACGGCCACGTAGAGTCTACGTCGTAGACGGATACCCTACGACGTGTTATATACATGGGTGACGCAAATGCCGAGATTCAGATAGCTTCATGGCGCTCTCTCAGTCAGAAGCAGCTTACTTGCAACACTGCGTCCATCCTTCCTTAGATCAGAAGATTTTGAGTGTAAGTCCTATGGTTTATTGTGGCATCAGGTCCCTGCTGTGGTCTTGGCGTCTGCAGGGTTCCATGGCTCTGGTATATCGTGTGCAGTTCTTGAGGTTGGGCAGGTTTCAACTCGCATAGTGCAATCAGGACTGTTCTCCCTTCCACAGTTGTCAGCACCATCCCGGCTCCGCAGTGTGCACAGCTTAACATGGCCCGCTCCTACGGGCACTGAGCCCTCGAGCCCTGTGCGGCTACTAAGTAATTACTAATATTATTCCTTAGGGTTCCTTATTCGAATTATACTATCATGGACCCCCCAGGCTCTACTCAATTGTTAAGGCCCCTAAACCCTAAACCCTAAACCCTAAACCCTAAACCCTAAACCCTAAACCCTAAACCTAAACACCTTAAAGGCCCCTACATTTCCATGCCCGAGGAACAGACCTCCTTGCTCTCTGTGCAAACGACATCGCGGCCCGGGGCGTGCGCCACCTCGGACGGAGGGAGCGAGCCCTTCAGAGCGTCGGTTGGGTTTAGGGTTTAGGGTTTAGGGTTTAGGGTTTAGGGTTTAGGGTTTAGGGTTTAGGGTTTAGGGTTTAGGGTTTAGGGTTTAGGGTTTAGGGTTGAGTTGCAGGGCTCTTGCGGTCTATGCAGTGGTGGAATTCGAAGGTCGAAGTATGTCGAAGTGCGATGCGATGCCAGCTTCGTCAGAGGCTCCGGAATGGACACACACACGCACACACGTATGTAATCTCGAGTGGAAGCATTGCAGCCTTTGCAACCTAAACTCTGGATCCTAAAACCTAAGCACAAAAATCTGGAGCTCTGAGATCCTAAACCTTCAAAGCCCTAAAGACTACATCCCGAGCCCTCAACTCTGACACCCCGGAGCCCTCAACCGGAAAGCTATGAGCCTGAGGCAGAGCCTCTGATGTTCTCCAGCCACCACTCCTGCTGCCAGCTGGATGCGCAGCAAGCCCTCGAGGCATCTTTTGGGTAGTCACGTGAATGACCTACATACTCTTTTTATGATTTGTGCGTACTTGCATTATCAGTAGAGAAATAGGAGAGATGGATTGACTCGCACTAGTGTATCAGCCTCAATCTTGTGAATGCCTTTGAAGGGAAGGCAACTGAGCTTGAAGCCCAGGCAGCTGAAGAGTCTGATCATGTTCTGCTCTGTCCCTGCCTCCCTCGATTCTTGCAGCTGGGGATATTGCTGCAATCCTGTTGCTCCTGATGTATTGTTGATGATGACGATGCGGATGGCGATCACACTGGGGATTGTGAGGATCATGATGGCGATGGCCACGAGGACGACGACAGCGACAACGCTGAAGATGCTAATTGTAACGGTGTCGGTGATGTCTCTCAACATTATCATTTGAGTATCGTAAATGTCTTCTCATTCGGTCAGAAAGTGCTAGCACCGCTGTACCGCTGGCAGTGCACATGCAAGTAGTAGGTTTACCTTACCATCTAATGCTGAAAGTCGTAAGACTAGCGACGAGGCTATCAACAAAGCTTAACAAGCTTCGTTTTCTGAAGGTCCCAGGCGAGAGGAGTAGAGATGGGGTGGTGAGCTGGCCACGTGCGCAAGGTTTAGGGTTCCTTCAGGGGTGTCTGTAAGGGTACTATGATGAGGGTTCCTATAAGATAAAGCTAGGGCCTTTGCCAGGTGAATGAAGGTGTCGCCGAGGGCTGCCGCGAGGCGCGAGCTGTCTTCCCCATTAGCAGGCTTCGGCTTTGGCACCAGAACATAAGGTGAAGATGGAACCCTAAACCCTAAACCCTAAACCCCCAAAGCCTAAACCCTAGCACTTGAGGTTGTTGGCTGTTCCGCAAACGGCACTTTGCGATCTGAGAAAGGCCGTGTGTGCCTTCACCGAAGCAAAAACAGCAGAGATGCCGGGCGTCTACAGCCTGAGGCTCAGAGATTGCTGCCACTAGCGATGACCAAAGTTCAGTTCACTGGTTCAATTGCAAGGATGATCGTGACGGCGAGGATGATGACGACGATGCTGATGATGCTGGTGATAATGATGAGGAGGAGGTACCAGCGGAAAAAGAGGACACGTGGACAATGCAGGCCAGGAGAACGAACATGACTGCGACTGCTTCTGCACCAAGCGCATTGGGATGCACATGCAATGCTTGGCCCAAGTCCCTATACCACTCACAACCCCTCACAATAAGTTCCCCAAGTCCTAAACTTTAAGATAACCGATCACGCAGAACACCCTGAACCCTCAATGCCAAACCTTAAACCCTAAACCCAACTACCTAAACCCCAAGCCTCAAGCCATCCTAAGCCCTAAACCCCTAGAAGAAGCCCAGATTCCTCTTCCTTCGACCTCGTCGGCTTCGCCGTCGGTGCTGCAGAGCGTTTCGGCCTCGGGAGTTCCCTTTCCAAGCCAAGGGTTTTAGA